CCAGACTTTGGAGGGCCACCCTAATTTACTTGATAAGCTGCAGGAGTGATTTCAATTATCGATCCGACATCAATTATAAATCCGACGGCGATCATCGACCCGAACTTTGGGGGGGCCGCCCTGATATACTCCTTGAGAGATACTTTCGACTACTGTTATTATAGAGAAAAGATTACGTTTGATAATTTTTGTAACTATTATATGGAGAGTGTTCAGATAAATCACAAAGACACCACTATTTTAATAATAAGCAAAAATTCTGACGATAACCCGGCTAAGAAAAAACATTTTGTTTGTAGAACGAAAAAGAAAATTGATAAGTCGAATGATAATGAGTACATATTGAAATTTTATTGGAAAGGTGATAATATACTCTTTTACAAACATTATAAACAAGAATATTATCATTGTACATCATTAATAATCATTTATTTGCATTTGTATTTTTGTTTATTAGATATTTCAAGATGAACTTCAAAAAAACCTTCAAAAAAATTCTGATATACAGAAGTAACTTAACGAAAATGCTGGAAAACATTCTGGATGCACTGCCGTTATCGCTTTTTTCTGAGGTCTGAACCTGAAACAATAACATTTGAAAATGAAAATGATGTTAATGGTAAGGATCCTTCGGCTTGTAATGGTACTGAAAACTCAAGGTACGTCGTTAATTATTATTTTATCTTATATGTTTTATGTTAATTGACTGTTGTTAATTTTTTCATTTGTTTAATATAGTATGTTTTATATACTGCAAACGTTGGGGATGCTCGTGCTGTTTTAAAGTATGCTGTTATTATTTGTTTAAATGTTTTTCTTCAATTGTTGTCTTATTAATCTAATGCAATATATTTATATAGTCGAGATGGGAGAGCTGTTAGATTATCCTATGATCATAAGGGAAGTGATCCTCAAGTAGCTAAAAGAATTGTTGAAGCTGGTGGTTTTGTCATGAATAATCGTGTTAATGGTTTGTTGCAACTTTGTCACCTGAAATTTATTCGTTTTCACCGATTTATTTATTTTATTTCATTTGGTAGATGTATTGGCTGTGACGCGCTCACTGGGTGATTGTTCAATGAAAGAATTTGTTATAGGTAAACCTTATACCACAAAAATAACTCTGACAGAAAAAATTCTTTTTAATACTTGCATGTGATGGTGTAAGTCATTGTTTGTTTTTAGTGATTAGAATTTTCTTCTATCATATCGGCGGATTTTCGGAATTGGGTTTACATGGGTTTGTAAAACAAACCCATAAGGAGTCAATATCGCTTACAAATTAAATTTTAATTTTGTATTGTTATTGTTAAATTATTTTTATATACATACGGGTTCGTTTACAACCCATGTAAACCTAATTCCGAAAATCCGCCGATATGCATTTATTATTAGCATTCATATTTATTTTATATGCTTTTTCAGTTATTGGATGTTTGTAATGGTCAAGAAGCTGTGGATCTTATTCAAGATATTATGGATTCTTAGAAAGCGAGCACAAAATTGATTAGACATGCTCTACAGAATTTCAGCACCGATAATTTAAACCTGATGGTAGTTAGATTTAAGAATGGATTAATGGTGAGAAATCGCATTATGCACTAGTTCTTTTTTTTTTTTGTTTAATCTTTATTTAATCTTTATTTTATATTTCTTACTTTAACTGTTAAAGTGAATTATATAAGGTGAATTATTTTAGTGTATTATCTTGGTATAACACTTTGTATCTTGTCTTTGGTGATATTTATGCAGCGTTCGTTTAGATTGTTCAAGAGGTAGTCATAGAATTATTATTATTTTTTGATCCAAAAATTAATTTATGTTCTTACTATCTGATTACATATATATTTCATGTTAGGAATAATTTTTTAAGTTTAATTTCAGGCGCTAATACAACAATGTGACATTCGAAACAATTCTTTTTGTATTATATAGTTATATATTCGGATGCACTAGTGCGTACATATATGTAAAACAATACTTTAAAAAATAATAATAACTGTTTAAGTGATGAGCTATTATTTGATTGAAAATTTCTAATTTTACACGTAGTGTACTGTGTAATACATGGGTATTGATTGGTCAAAACTGATTAAGATTAGGTTAAGGGTGAATTTGGGATGAAGGTAGAGAGAGTAGATTATATCAAAATTCACAAGGAATTTTTTTTATTAATATTCGAAAGGTGGTCTTATAAGCAAAATTTTGACTTTTATGTTACCTGTGTATATACTGTTCAATAGAAATTGCCTATTTGATTTACTAATAAATATTTTGGATTAAAATATTATTTAATATACTTTTAAAACATTGTTTTAAAGAAACTCTAAGTGGGTTTAAATAAAAGTAGATTTAAACAGGCCAATTCTATTTTGACCCAGGTCAAAGTAACCCATCACATGACCCGGATCTAGAGCTGAGTATTGGTAAATCCAGCACCGAGCCGTTAATCGGCTCGGCTTAGCCATTTTGGCTCAAGCCGTTTGCATCACTATTG